TATGGCCCTTCGTCCTTCCACTGGTCCACAGCGTGTCCCCCTACCGTCTCCTCCTGCGTCTTCTCTTCCTGAGGTTCCCGACCCTGAGTCTGACAGTGTTCGTGCTGCCCACCCTACTGTTACGCGTCTTCTCGCCACTGTTGTCACTGACCCGTCGTTTGAGTCTTCTGCTGCGTCTGCCCTGGTCGCTGAGCTTGTCGACTTTGCTGCTGCCTGTCGTCTAGACTACGCCGCCAGTCTTGTTGCTGGGTCTGAGTCTGTCTGTCCTCCGTCCGTCGGGGGTGAGCGTGCTCTTGGCACGGACGTCCTTGAGGACAGGCAGGAGGACTTTGACTCTCTTGCGGCTGCTGTACCTCATCTCGTGGCCTGGTTGCTTGCCCCTGAGGGAGACCCGGATGCACTAGACATCCCCACTCCGCGCTCTTACGCAAAGGCGATCTCGGGTCCCTACTCCTCTCAGTGGCAGATAGCCATGGACGCAGAGATGGCATCCTGGAAGTCCACAGGCACCTACGTCGACGAGGTTCCCCCCCCTGGGGCGAACATCGTCGATGGCATGTGGATTTTCAGGGTGAAGCGGCCGCCAGGTTCTCCACCTGTCTTCAAGGCTCGTTACGTTGCTAGAGGCTTCAGTCAGCGTCAGGGGGTTGACTTCTTTCAGACCTTCTCCCCCACCCCGAAGATGACCACTCTTCGGGTTCTGCTGCACGTTGCTGCTCAGCGTGACTACGAGCTTCACTCTCTTGACTTCAGCACAGCGTTCTTGCAGGGCAGCCTGCATGAGGAGATCTGGCTGCGCCGCCCACCTGGCTTTACTGGGTCGTTTCCTCCTGGTACCCAGTGGAGCCTCCGGCGGCCAGTCTACGGTCTCCGCCAGGCACCGCGCGAGTGGCACGACACACTGAGGACTACACTTGCGGCCCTTGGGTTTGCTCCTTCCACTGCTGACCCGTCACTGTTCCTGCGCACAGACACGTCGCTGCCGCCGTTCTACATCCTCGTGTACGTCGACGACTTGGTTTTTGCTACTGCTGACACTGAGGCACTCGCTCGTGTGAAGTCGGAGCTGCAGAAGAGACACACCTGCACTGACCTGGGTGAGCTGCGTAGCTACCTTGGCTTGCAGATCACCCGGGACAGAGCACGCCGCACCATCACCCTGACTCAGTCACACATGGTGCAGCAGGTCCTTCAGCGCTTCGGCTTCCAGTTCTCCTCACCACAGGCCACACCTCTGGCTACCAGCCACTCGCTCTCAGCTCCACCTTCGGACGAGTCCGTAGAGCCGAGTGGCCCGTACCCAGAGCTTGTAGGCTGCCTCATGTACCTGATGACTTGCACGCGACCTGACCTTGCGTACCCTCTTAGCATCCTTGCTCGTTACGTTGCGCCTGGGAGACACAGGCGAGAGCACTGGGAGGCTGCTAAGAGGGTGCTGCGTTACTTGTGCAGTACATCAGGCATGGGGCTGGTGCTTGGAGGACGCGGCAGAGTTGTCCTCACTGGTCACTCGGACGCTTCTTGGGTGGACGACCTGGCTACGCAGCGGTCGTCACAGGGTTACACCTTCAGCCTTGGCTCTGGTTCTGTCTCGTGGCGGTCCACCCGCTCTTCTTCTGTTCTCGGCTCTAGTTGTGAGGCTGAGATCTACGCCACGGCCATGGCTGCACAGGAGTTACGCTGGCTCACCTACCTGCTGACTGACTTGGGAGAGCGGCCTAGTTCTCCTCCAGTTCTGTACGGTGACAACAAGGCGGCCCTTGCCTTGTGTCAGGAGCACAGACTGGAGCACAGGACGAAGCACATTGCTCTTCGCTACTTTCTTGCTCGAGAGCTTCAGCAGCGCGGTCAGCTTCGGCTTGTGTACGTGGACTCGAAGGCCAACACTGCTGATATCTTCACCAAGGCGCTCCCGCCTAGTGATCATCAGCGGCACTGTACTTCTTTAGGCCTTGTGTCCACGTTTCCTCATTTGCTTACTGCTTGACTTTCTTTGTACTGTACTTTATATATATCTTGTTGCTTGTCTTGTTCTATATCTAGCACTGCATGTGAACTGGCCTTGTGGCCTTTGCTTGTGCTCGGAGTGTGGTGACGTTGTGATCCACCCTGGGCTTGTTTTGCTGGACTGGTCTTGTGACCCTTTGCTCTCCCCCACTTTGCCTATGGGGGTGTGTTAAGTTGTACTGTGTTATATATATGTGGGTAGGCTGTAGTGGGGTAGCCAATACAGGGTACAAACCCAACTAGGGTTAGCTACTTGTACCCAACTGTTCCTTCCAATGCATCATTCTTACGCTAGGATTCTGACAAGACCCGGGGGGGGGGGTGTTATGTACGGAAAAATTTGTTGTTTTCGCCTAAATTTTGCACAGGGACGTGACCGCACCAGCGAGGCTGCTAAGCCTGTTGCGGGACTCCCGCCTCTGTGACTGCATGAATCCTCGTCGAGCGACGGGGGGTGTGTTTTCGACCAATCAGGGCATGACAGAGGGCCTGTTGGAGCTTGCAATGTGGCAGCTTCCACTCGAGGCTAAGGGTGTGTGCACTAGGAGTTCGAACTTCTGTCTAAGTTCGAACTTTTAGCGAGGTTCTACTCGGTGCAAAGCGGTGAATGTTCGAACTTTGACAAATTTCGCCCAAAGTGCACACGCCCTAACGTTATCGCCTCATCCTCGGTTTTGCGCACCCAACCAACAATCTACCACCGCAGCAAGCATGTACATTTTGTTCCCAACTGTTTCTGCTTAAAAAAAAATGTACATTATAAAAAGACCCGGGTGTTATGTAGCTTTTTCCCATGACAAGACCCCCCCCCCTTTTTTTGATGTAGTTATCATAGCACCCTAGGGTGGTATGTCCGGGTGATTACGGTAATTTTGTGATAAGTATATGTGCCATCTGGTTTTCATTAGTTAGAATGGAAATTATATCTTTCCTGTTCATCTTCCTCTATGATGATCTAGTGATGGAAAGCCAATATTTGCAACCAGAATCATTAGAAGCGTTGTGATTGATTAGGGAATAGCCTCCAATACTTGTTGCGTAGCAGAACCGTGCTGGAATAGCAGAGAAGAAATCTGGGATTGCGGTGGGTTTGGTTGGTAACAGAGCCGTTTATATTGAGAGGCGGCAGAACCTAGGAAGGTAACGGAGCCGCGTTATGCTCTCGTGCGTTTCCCCTGGGCAAGCACGTCAAGTAGCATGTGAGCATGTGAGGCTTGCATGTCATGTCGAGCTGTTTCGTTTTCGAGTATCTCCAGCCACAATTTTCCATTCATGGGCATGGCAAGTCGCTTCGACTCGACGTCGTGAGTCATAATTCGTCGCGTGGCTGACCCGAGATCCTAGCAACGTCCAATCAGGTTCCTGGCGACGCGATCAGTTCTGCCGCTTAGAACCCGGATTCCCTCGTACGATGCGTGCGACCCAAGCAAAATTCCAGGCGACCTAATCACTGCTGCACGCACTCGCACGCCGCTCCTTGGCGCTTCCCATTCCTCACTGCGGGGTAATTCCGTACACCCTTTTCGCCGCATTTCCCCCCTTCCGCTCTCCGCCCGTATATTCCCCAGCGCAGCCCCCCACAACCAATTTAATTTCTCCCCCTCGGCCTTTCCCAAGCCTTTCCGCCAAACCTCCTTCCCCCACCTTCTTTCCGCACCCCCCACCTGCTTACGGGCTATCAAGCGATCATCCCTAAGCTACGCGAGAGTATGTATTTGCATACAGACGATCATCCCGATGGAAGGAGAAAGTTCAGTTTTGCCCTAGCAGAAGTGATCGATCCAGTTTTGGAAGCATCGCACTGAGCTACGGTGACTGACTCTCAGCTGCAATCTCCGCCGTGACGGCAAGATTTGCTATAGAGTCCCTCACGTCTTCGACATAAGCGAAGCAGTGCAAGGGGAATGCCGCCGACTGTTGAGAGCTCAACTGATGCATGGGTACGCATATTTCGATTCGCCAGCCCCGCCATTAGTAGCTCCGCCATTCTTAGCGGCTCCGCCATTTTTACTAGCTCTCTTCTTTACTGCTCCGAAACCTGAGTTTTGCATGCTTAGCTCTGCACTCGCTTCAGAATCAGTTGCTGCTCACATGCTTAGCTTCAAAATCCGTTGCTTCTCACATTCTTGCTTCAGAATCCGTTCCTGCTCACATTCTTATTTTCATAATCAGTTGCTGCTCACATGCTTAGCTTCAGAATTCGTCGCTGCTCACATTCTTAACTTCGGCATTTCGTTGCTTCTTACATTCCTAGCTTCAGAATCCGTTGCTTCTCACATTATTAGCTTTAGAGTTCGTTGCTGCTCACATTCTTAGCCCTAGAATCCGTTGCTGCTCACATGCCTAGCTTCAGCATCCGTTGCTGCACGACCGTTCTTAGGTCTGACTGGAACCCATGGTTCATCCATATCAAGCCTTGGAACCTTGTGAGTACGCATTCTGAGCTTCGGACCTCAATGAATTTATTTGTGACATTCTGTTAACGGCCTCGTTAGAAGACATATTTGCCGCTCCGTTTTCTACAATAATTTCTTCAACAGTAAATCCATTTTTTTGCGTTGCGGTAGTAATTTACCCCTTGGTATTTGCTCTAGCGCAAAACAGAGCATCTAGAGTCTCGCCTCAAAGCCTATTTGTAGGCTGGTAACCTACCAGCCCTATCCTTCTAAAATTGTAGAAGCCTATAAGGTTGGTATCGCATCAGGTGCCTTCAAGCGAGACAATTCCACTTTTTCATGAAAGAAGCCTCCCCCGGTCTCACTTGTTCATTTCCGCTCTTGGCGTGAAAGACTCTCACAATCAGAGCTGAAAATGATTCGCGTCAGTCAGAGTTTTTTTTAGACAATTCCCATGTTCTAGCAGTCGCTTGATTCTAACCAATCCTAGTCTCTCAACCGATAACAAACCCTGTCTTGTGTGTCTTTTTTTGGGGTGTTCCTAATTTCATTATCTCATACTCATGTTCTGGTATCCGTTATGAGTCAACTCAAACCATGCATGTTATGCGTCTACTTCAGTTCCTGTTGTTTGTCACGAGTCGACTCAGAACACACCTGTGCCTGTTGTTTGTTACCTACCAGGTGGAAATGTGCGAGAGAGGTGCAGCAGGAGAGGAGGGAGGTGCGGCTGGGGAGAGAAGAGAAGCAGATGCTGAGCAAGGGAGGGAGAAGGAGCAGCAGGAGCAGCGGGAGGAGCAGGAAGAGGGTGCTGAAAATGAGTCAGATATTGATGGTTTTAATGGGAGTAAGGAGGAGTCTTACCGTTACAATCATGGTGATGCTGACGAGGCTGACGTGGAAGATCATGGTGATGGTGATGGTGATGATGATGATGAAGAGGAGGAGGATGGAGATGCAGACGAGGTGTTAACGGTTGACGATGCAATCGACTCCATCGGTGAGCTTCCGTTCAGTGTTGTGATGAAAATCAGATCTGCGCTAGCTGTTGCTTTAGGATTCGAAACCTCGCCGCAGGTGAGATCTTTCAGTTCGTGATGCTGAAGAAGATGAAGAAGATGATGAGGATGGAGATGCGAACGAGGTGTTGACGGTTGACGACGCCATCGCTTCCATAGGTGAGCTTTTCCTCGCTTCTCAGTGTCATTTCATTTTCCAGTATCATTTCCACTCTTCTCCCTGTCTGTGTCACCTCTCCCCTCCCCACTCACTCATTCCCTTCCTCTTCCCCTCTTCCCCTTCTCACAGGCTTCGGCCCCACCAGCTGTTTCTCGTGTGCTACACCGGTCTCGCGTGGCTTGCTGACGCCATGGAGGTGATTCTGCTTTCCCTTCCCTTGTCACCCTTCTACTCTCTCTCCCTTCACTCTCTTCCCTCCTGCCCTTATTAGGTTTCGGCCCCACCAGCTGTTCCTCGTGTGCTACACCGGCCTCGCCTGGCTCGCTGATGCCATGGAGATGCTCCTACTCTCTCTCACCCTTCAACTCTCTCTTCCCTCACTCTCCCCTCTCCCTGCTTCTTCGCTTTCGTCCTATCCTCCCCCCATCACCAGGCTTCGGCCCCTACCAGCTCTTTCTCGTGTGCTACACTGGCCTCGCCTGGATTGCTGATGCCATGGAGATGATTCTGCTCTCCCTCTCATTGCCTCCCCCTTCACTTCCTTTTCCGTCCTTCCCCCCGCCACCAGGCTTCGGCCCCTACCAGCTATTCCTCGTGTGCTACACCGGCCTCGCCTGGCTTGCTGACGCCATGGAGATGATTCTGCTCTCCTTCGTGGGACCAGCGGTGAGTGAGTGTGCATCGCTGTGCTGTGCGGTGCTGTTCTGTCCTGTGCTGTGCTGTGCCGTGCTGTGTTTGATGTGCGTAGGCTGGCATGCGATGCGGCCTGGCTGACACATGTTGGTCACAATGCGAGTTTGGTCTTCCAGCAGATTTGAGCCGCCTTAAAACTCTTCCTTCCCTGCCTTGTTTATTCCCTGCCTTGTTTATTCCCTGCCTTGTTTCTTCCCTGCCTCGTTATGCAATCTCCCGTTCTTCCTACCAGGCACGGTGTGAGTTCGGTCTTTCAGGAGCAGAGGAGAGCCTTATAGCGAGTGTGGTGTTTCTGGGTGTATTTCTGTAAGTGCCAGTCGCTGTGACCCGTTATAGTCTCATTCATTACAACAATTAGGCGTCCAAGCAGCAGAAGAGAGCCTCGTAGCGAGGGCGATGCAAAGTGTTCCTGGTTGTGTTTCTTTACGTGCCTTTTGAAGTGACGCATTATAAACTTATTCGTTCATGGGCATATACCCTCCCATCTGTTCGACCCTTTAGTGCTTCTCTTCCTCTGTTATTGCCCATCTGCTGTCTGTCTGCCATGGCAGGGGCTCCTATGTGTGGGGGCTCGTGGCAGATGCATACGGGTGAAGGAGAGGGTTCATGGCCACCTACTCTTGCATTCTCATGCCTCCTGTTTCTTCTCCTCACTTCCCTCCTCTCATTCATATTGCATCTGTCCATTTCAGGGGCTCGTACGTGTGGGGGCTCGTTGCAGATGCGTACGGGAGGAGGAGAGGGTTCATGGCCGCTACTCCCTTCAAATCAATGAACTCTCATATCTTCTTCTCTCTTTCACTCATCCCATCCATCCCTCATGCATTGCATGATTGCATTCCCATGGCAGGGGCTCGTACGTGTGGGGCCTCGTGGCAGATGCATACGGGAGAAGGAGGGGGTTCATGGCCACTGATCTCTTCAATTCAGTTACCTCAATTCAACCGCCTCTTGTCTATGTTCTTCCCTTCCATCCATCTGTTGTCCATCTGTCCATATCAGGGGCTCGTACGTGTGGGGACTCGTGGCAGATGCCTATGGGAGAAGAAGAGGGTTCATGGCCACTGCTCTCTTCACTCTCTTCGCTGGCTTGCTCAGGTGATTCTTCAGGTGCTTTTTGAGGTGATTTTCGAGGTGTTCTTTCAGGTTCGGGTTTTTTTTTTTTTTCCCGGTGATTCTTCAGGCGGTTTTTCAGGTGACTCTTGAGGTGAAACTTCAGGTGTTTCTTCAGCTTCGGTGTAGAATTCCGGTCCGCTTTGCCATCAGGGCCGCATTGCTTTAACACCACCATCCACCATCCCTCTTCCCCTTCTTGCTTCCTCCCCTCCCCTCTTGCCATTCTCTTCTGCTCTTCCCCACACACCTCACACACGGTGTGTGCCTGGTCGCCTCGATTTTTGAGTTTGAGGCGCCTAAAAAATTTTGAGGCGCCTAAAAAATCTTCTGCTCTTCCCCACACACCTCACACACGGTGTGTGATAAGTCGAGTTTTGAGTCGACTCAAAACTCGACTTATCATTCTCTTTTGCTCTTCCCCACACACCTCACACACGGTGCCTGGTCGCCTCGCCCACCTTCCTTACTCTCCTCATCTTCTCCTCCTCCCATTCTTTTCTCCTCCACACCCTCACCACCCTTCACTCCCACACACCTCACACACGGTGCCTGGTCGCCTCGCCCACTTTCCTTGCCCTCCTCATCTCTCGCTGCCTCGTTGTCTTTCCCATTTGGGTCGCATTAGTTGTTTACCATTCCTTCCATCCTCCGCTCCCCTCTAACCATTCTCCTCTCCTCTTCCCCTCACACACACAGTGCGTGGTCGCCCACCTTCCTCACGCTCCTTATCTCTCGCTGCCTCGTGGGATTCGGCATCGAAGGGGCATCGGTGGTCTTCTCTCTCTTACTATTCTCCTCTCCTCTTCCCTCTTACCGTTCTCTTCCCCTGTTCCCTCGTCCCTCTTCACCTCACACACACAGTGCATGGTCGCCCACCTTCCTCACGCTCCTCATCTCTCGCTGCCTCGTGGGATTCGGCATTGGAGGGGCATCAGTGGTCTTCTCCCTCTGCTCTGAGTTCCTCCCCTCCCACTCCCGGGGATTCTGGCTCGTGTTTATCGAGTTCTTCTGGACTGTAAGTGACGTGGCATGCTTAGTTTTGATTAAGGAGACGCCTGGAGATTTGATGAGATTGGCTGGAAACGAATTACATGAAGGTATTACAGAGATTATCCCAAAAAAAAGAAAAAGCAAAAACAAACAAACAAACAAACAAACAAGCAAACAAACAAACAAAAAAACAAACAAAAACTGAGAATGCTCCAGAACGCATACATTACACTCCATGTCCGCACCTTTGTGTTGCAGGCCGTTTTTGTTAGGCAGACCTACCACTGGCTTACCATGCCTCCCACCTTCTTCCATCTCCCCATGCCTCTTGCTTCTACTGTGCCTCTCTCCGTACCTCCCCCATGCCTTTCACCATGCCTCTCACCATGCCTCTCACCATGCCTCTCACCATTCCTTTCACCATGCCACTCACCATGCCTCTCACCATGCTCTCACCATGCCTCTCACCATGCTGCTTGCCTTTCCCATGCCTCTCACCATGCCTCTCACCATGCTGCTTGCCTTTCCCATGCCTCTCCCCTGTCCTGCCAGATTGGGTCGCTAATAGAGGCGGCACTTGCTTGGGCAGTCATGCCGAGCCTACACTGGAGGTATGGAAATTTACCGAATCTAGTTGTTTTAACACCTGGGGAGTACTGTTCTCCGGTTTAGAAAGTTTCCAGAAAGCTCCTGTCAGCCCTTCGACCTTCTGCTCCTCTAACTCGTCCTTCCTAACTCATCCCTTCCTCCCTGACTCATCCCTTCTTCCCTAACTCACCCCTTCCCCCCTATCTCACCCCTTCCTCCCTAACTCACCCTTTCCTGTCTAAGTCTCGATCCTCCTTTGACTTCTTGCTCCATTCCCTCCCTCTTTCTCCTCTTGCTTCTCCCCTCCTGTTTCGCCCTTTTATCTCCTGCTCTTGCTCTACCTGCTCCTTTCTGAGTCACACTTCTTCTTTCTGCTTCTGATCTCTTCCCCCCTCCCTGCCTCTCCTTTTGCCTCCATCAAAGGGCATAGCAGGGAGGGCCCCCTCCCTGATGCTAATTCTCCTCCCTGCTATGCCCTTTGCTCTCCTGCTGCTGCTCTCCCCTTTCCCTCCCAATTCAAAACACACCTTTTTCCTCTTGCCCCCTTCCCCCCGTTCCTCTCCTCTTTGTCCACCCTGCTTCCATCTCGTCTTGCCTCTCTCCCTCCCTGCATCTCCGTATGCGTCCACCCTAAATCCCTTTGCCTCCACCCCTTTTGAGGCGCCTCAAAAGTATGCGTCCACCCTAAATCCCTTTGCCTCCACCGCAGGATGCTTGTACTTCTCTCTGCAATTCCCTTTGCTCTCCTGCTGCTGCTCTACCCCTGCTCATACTATTCCATTCTCCTTTTTCTCCCCTCCCTCCCTCCCTCCCTCTCCCTCCCTCCCTCCCTCCCTCCCTCCCTCCCTCCCTCCCTCCCTCCCTCCCTCCCTCCCTCCCTCCCTCCCTCTCTCCCTCCCTGCCTCCCCTCTGGCCTCTATCCCAGGGTGCTGGTGCTCCTATCTGCTACTCCCTTTGCTCTCCTGCTGCTGCTCTACCCCTTCCTTCCCGAGTCGCCCCGCTTTCTCCTGGTCAGTGCATGCGCTGGGTTGCTTGGTGTTCTGGGTTGGTTGGTGGGAGGGTGGGTGGGTGGGTGGGTGGGTGGGAGGAGGGATATGTGGCTGTGTCTGGTGGATGGGTGAGTGCGGGTGAGTGTGGTCAATGGGGATGACTGTGTACAACTGTGTACGAGTGTGTATGAGTGTGGATGAGTGGGTATGAGTGGATGAGTGTGTATGAGCGTGGATGAGTGTGTATGAGCGTGGATGAGTGTGTGTGGACGTGTGTGTGTGTGTGGACGTGTGTGTTTGTGTGTGGACGTGTGTGTGTGTGTGGACGTGTGTGTGTGTGGACGTGTGTGTGTGTGGACGTGTGTGTGTGTGGACGTGTGTGTGATGGGTGGGTGGGTGATTGTGGGTGAGTGGGTGGGTCTGCAAGCTACACCGTGTGTCCACCACACCTGTTGCTCTCCGCCTCCTGTTCTACCCCAACCCAACCCAATCCAGCATCATTCTTCCCTTTCTCCTCTCGCCTTCTCTCCTCTTCTCTTCCCCTCCTTGTTTGCTTATTGGTGTAAATTAAGAACTACAAAATGCACATCTTTTTCTTGCTCATTTTCCTTCATTTACTCAAATATCATGTCAGTGGCCCACCATACATCATCATAATTCTCTCTCCCTTTTTTTTTTCTTTCTCTCATTTTCCTTCTTTTTTTTCCTTCTCGTTCCTCCTTTCTTTCACTCGTCCTTGTTCTCTTCTCGTTCCTCCCTTCTCCCTGTCCTACCTCTCCTCCCACTTCTCCAGTTTTCTCGCCTTCTCTCCTCCCCCTTCCTCCCGTTCTCTCCTCCCTTTACTCATGCTCCCTTGCCTTCTTAATCCTGCGCCATTCTCACTCCCTCACCCCTCCCCTTCCTCGCCTTCCCTCCCAACCCTCACTCTTCTCCTTGCTCTTCCCTTCCTTTGACTTTTGAGTCGACTCAATAGTTTCCCTCCCAACCCTCACTCTTCTCCTTGCTCTTCCCTCCCAACCCTCACTCTTCTCCTTGCTCTTCCCTTCCTTTCAGCTCAAAGGCAACACGTCAGCAGCACGCATAGTTCTAGAAAAAGCTGCCCGAACTAATGGCAAGGGCCTGCCGCCCGGGCGGCTAGTTTCGGCCACATCTGGTCCAAAGCTACTGGCATCACCACACCCCTCCTCCCCTTCTCCCGCCAATGCCTCCTCCTCCTCTCCTCCACCCTCCACTACTAAACACCGTTCTTCCCACTCCTCCTCTTACTACCCTGTCTACTCCTCCTCCTCCTCCTCATCCGTATCTCATCCCCGCTGTTCCTCCACTCCTCTCTCTCCAAACGATACCTCCTTCAACTCAAATTTCGATGCCGGCCCTTCTATGCCCTCGCAACCCTCTTGCTCCCAAACGTCTAAAAGGCCTACTCCCCAACACACAGCACTTGAGAGCACAGTGCTCCATAGAAAAACGCCCCAATGCACGTCTACGCCCCCTTGTTCTTTGTCTTTCTCTTCCTCTTCCACCTCCTCTTTCTCGCCTCTCCCATCACAACCAGTATCAGCCGACTCAACTGACAGAGCGCAAAACAGTCTACACGATTCACATTCCAAAAATCAAATGCCGCAGCAGCAGCATCCCCATCCCCATCCCCACTCACATCACCATCAGCACCACCAGCATTCCCACCTGGATTCCCACCCCTCTTCCTCCTCCTCCTCTCTCCACAAACTCGCGAGCCTCCTTTCGCCCTCCCTCCTCCGCTCCACTCTGGTTGTTTGGCTGCTTTTCTTCGCCTCTGCCTTCTCTTACTATGGACTCGTGTTGCTCACCACTCAGCTCTCCTCTCAACCCACCAATCAACTTCCTTCTCAACCCACTACTCAGCTGTCTTCTCAGCCCACCGCTCAGCACCACTCCCAACCGACCACAGTAGGAGGAGCAGCAGTAGATGCAGAAGCAGCAGCGGCCGGGGCAGGATCAGCAGCAGCAGCAACCGGAGATAATGCATCGTCTCCCCATGGTTCTACCTCTGTTCCCTCCAGAGGCTTGCTTGATAAACTGCAGCAGGAGCAGCAGCACCATTGCAATCCTACCGCACCGGTTGCAACCCCTCCCCCTCCCCCAATTCCTTCCCGTCCTCCTCCTCCTCCTCCTCCCGCTCCTCCTCCGCCTCCTCTTCTCGGCCTCACCTCACTTGAGCAATTGCTTCCCTCTTTTCGTCGTTCCTTGGCTTTGACCCAACAACAAGATACCTCCACCACATATGATCCCTCCTCCACTCACTCCTCTACTTCCTCCTCTTCCTCCTCCTCTTCCTCCTCCTCCACCTCCTCGTCTTCTTCGTATTCCCCTCCTCCCTCTTCCGCCCCTCTATCCCCCTCTCCCTTACCTGGTTGCACACCTGAAAACCAACCTGAAATTTCCTCCCAGACCTATTTAGATGTTTCTATCACTTCAACAGCAGAGCTGCCCGGCCTACTTCTCGCGCTGGCCGGGGTCGAAATTTTTGGCCGAAAGACCGTCCTCTGGGTTCTCCTCTGCTTAGCAGGGCTTTTTTTGCTGCCCCTGGTTCATCCCTTGCCGGCCACTGCCACCACGATTTTTCTTTTTGCTGGCCGGGCGGCAATTATGGGGTCTTTCGCGGTGCTCTGGGCATACACCCCGGAAATTTACCCGACCGAGATCAGATCTACTGGGCTCGGGGTGGCAAACTCATGGGCAAGACTGGGTGGCTTCATATGTCCGTTTGTGGCGGTCGGATTGATAGAAGGAAGTCACAGGGTAGGTCTGGTGATTTATTTGTCTCTTTAGGCTTAGTTTTTTTCTTCTTGTGTGGTTACCGATTGTGGCCCTTATCTACCTGTGCGTGACCACACCCACCCACTCACCACACCCCCCCACCTTTCCCCCTCCTCCCCCCCACCTCCCTCCCTCCCCCCCCCCCCCCCCACACACACACATGTGCGCGCACACACCCTACCCCCCTCTGCCCTCCTCACACACTCGCACTCAGTTCAACAAATCTCCACGTGTTTTCTTTGTCTTTTGAGGTGCCTTGGTAACCATCTTATGTCCTCTCCGCTTATTTCCAGTGTCTTTCTACCGTGTTTGCCTCTTGTTCTGCCGATAAGATTCCATGCTCATGTACTTTACACCTGTAATTTTCACCTGTACTCTTCACCTGTACTCTTCACCTGTACTCTTCACCTGTCGTTTTCACTTGATTCTCGATTGAGTCATCTCAGGACTGGCTCTTAACTATTCCATTATTTGGTTGTTTGTTTGTTTGTTTGTTTGTTTTTTGGTATTGTTCTCGCCAATGCAGGAGTTGGCTATCCTCCTCTGTGTCTTCATTCCTGTTTTTGCCGCCCTCGTCACTGCATGCTTTGCGTCAGAGACAAAGGTACGTTACAACTTTCACACTCTCAAGTTGTGCACGAGTTGACTTTCGAGTCGACTTAAGAGACAAAGGTACATTACGAGTTACACACTCTCCAGAGGTGCACTGGTGCAATTACTGCATCATTATTGAGTGTGATGCAAACGAGACCTCTTCCCTTGGATCCTAAGTTCCATGTGGATTTATGCATATGATCGTGTTCCCTTTAATGTTTCATTGTTTCTGTAAACAGGGGGCTGCTCTTGGGGAGAAAATATCCAGCTTCCGGCACTCCAACCAATCGCGTAGCGACATGTCGCTTAATAGCCCCACTTTCTTTCATTCTGATGTAGTGGCTGATGCCCGTAGTGCTACTCACAGCTGCTTTCAAGTCTTTGGGGACGACAGCTCGTGCAGTGACTCTGATTAACCCATATATATGTTATCTATTGCCATGTAATATTTTGAGTGTCGAGTCGATATTGATACCAGTACCATAGAGCTTGCATCAATATAGTGGGGCATCTCTACAAGGCAGCTCCTGCTGATCTAGTAGGGATACGGTAATGTTGCATGACTGGTGTCGCATGCACTTCACTACATGAACTAGTAATTTAAATTCTAGCGTATACTGCATATCACCCAAAGCATCATTCATCTGGACTCCTAGACAAAACATTGCATTGTTTCAAGATTGTGTATACAACATACCCAAAACCCCTATGATACATGATACAACCCACCTCAATGCGGACGTGGGTGGTTCGTTTTGGCGGGTTATGTGAGACATACACCATTGAGAGACGGGTGCTATAAAAGTGCCCTACACCCTAGCCATTCCCGACTGCACCACCTTCTCTAGCAGGATCTTCCCGCTTTTTAGTTCGGATCTGCCTCTACATCTGCACCCCCATTTGACGTATCAGTTCCTCATCACTCCCATGCAACATCTCGACCATGTTGTTGTAAAATGGATTGACAAAGTCTGACCCCCCCCCCCCTCTCCCCAATCCCCTCAGCTCTTCCTACAGTCTTGGACACCATTCAAGACTTTGGCCTCGGTCGTGCCATTGTGGTGGAAGGGGATAAGGTAGGCACCCTTGACATTTATGACTGCAAAAATGCACGGGTAACAAACGCCCCTTGCACCAATGCCCCCAGCACAATTGCACATGCCACAACCATATAAAACAACACCTTTTGAAGGGGGCAGCATTTGCTACTTGCGTACGATATTTGGTATAAATGCACAATCAAGTCTATTGAATGGTTACTGCATGGAGCAGAGGTAAGTCACCTCCAGCAAGGCACTTATGATGGGATTAAACCTCGAGAAGTCCACAACATGTGGAGGTGATCGCTCTTGTAGACTTCTCTTGGTTTGATCCCAACAAAAGTGCCTCCTCTCATCCCCGTTCTGTCTCACGTTTATCGCAGGTTAGGACCAAGCGCATGTATCTTACAGATGGACAAAACCTTTGTCCATCCCCCATTTACAAAAGCACAGACACATACACACAGACACAAACATACGCATACACACACACACACACACACACACACAAACACACAGACACATATACCCACGCACACATACGCACACACACATACACACAAATACACAACCATATATAACCATATATACACACACACATACATACACAGACGCATACTCACACACATATGCAGACATACACATGTATACACACACACAGCCACACACACCTACAAGGGAGGTTCAGGGGGTGTGGGTGGTGGGTGACTCAACTGCAGCAAGTGCCACCACGCCTTCTCCTCCCTCTCCTCACTGCCGCTGCTGTTGATGTGGGGGGGAGGTTGAGGGCCTGGTGTGAGTTCAGCTGCAGCATCAGTCGCCACCTCCTATTTGTTTTCCTTCCGCTGCCACTGGGGGGGTGGGGTCACCGCCCTGCCTGCCATGCCTACCCTGACTGCCGCTCGGGGGGGGGGGGTTTGGGGAAGGGGGGGGGGTGGCCGCCGTGAAGCCAGCTTCTCCAGCCGCCACCCACTACCTCCTCTCCTCTCATGGTCCCTCCTCTTGTCGTCAGCTTCTTCCGCTGCACTCTGCTTGGTGTACCCCACTCAGGGGGCGACACTAGAATTCTTCCTGCAAGCAGTTATGGGGGGGTGTCGAAATATGTTTTACATATTTTTATAACTGCTTGTAGTTGTGTTGAACTGTTGTTATACTATCTGTCTGTTTGGTGCTGCACCACTAGTTCTTGTTCACCCTTGCTTATATCTTGTATGCTCTCCATTATTGAAACCCCTTTGGCTCACAATTCTCTTCACACCCCCTTGGCCTAGGCTTCTAAGCCTAGGCCCTACCAAAACCCTAGCTCCTACTTATGCTACTATTTCTGACAATACAGACACACACACACACACGCACACTCGCGCACGCACGTACACATGCACACACACACGCACACATGCACGCACGTACGGATACGCACGCACGCACGCAAGCGCGCGCGTGCGTGCGCGCGCGCGCGCGCACACACAAACACACAGACACATACATACATATACACACACATACACACACACACACACATACACACACACATACACACACACACACATACACACACATACACACACACATGCATGCACACGCACGTATACGCATGCACACGCATGCACACGCACGCACGCATGCATACACATGCACACACACGCACGCACGCACGCACACACACGTACGCACACATATACACACACATACACACATACTCGCACACACATGCAGTAGCACACACACACACACGCACACACACGCACACACACGCACGCACACGCACGCACACGCACGCACACGCACGCACACGTACACACACACACGCACACGCACGCAAACACACACACACATACGCGCGTGCACACACATACATACACACACACACACACAAAAAGAGCACATACCATTGGAACTTCTAGACCTGTATTGACTCTTCCAGCCAAAGATCAACCTGAATGAAATATATTTTTCTTACATGAGGAAGCTCTTTAATTGATGCCAAGGATGCATGCACTGCATGTACCGCCAAATGCTAAATCCTAAACAACGAGGCAATTACAAAAGATAAATAGATAGCAATTTGTCTCACACACGGAAATATACCTTTCGGCCAGGTCCCGATATTCAGCGATGACACATTGAAACCATCATCACGCACTTCTTCATTCTCCTCCTTTTTGCAACTCTAACATAGATGAATCTTTGCAGAGGAACAAATGCAGATCTTTGTTCAAGCCTCAAGTATCTCTTGCAATTAGAGCTTCCCAGATAGGGTATGTGTAAATTGCTTTGTTCTACCATTGCAATGGGATGGTGCAGACATGGGTACAGATTTGCATGAGGCGAGATCTCACCCTATACTAACCAAAACCTTTACTAACCATTCCCGCCCCGTGGTAATAAGGTACTTGTGTATTTGATCATCCTGAAACGACCTAGTCAGTAGAATGTGGCACTTCAAAGGATGAGGTTCCAGGATCAAACACCCGTGTCATGTTCTGCCAACCCCCCAGGAGGGGGTTTGCACGTGCTGATCTGGGAGTGGATAGTCCTGTTGATCACAATCAATATATAACATTAGACTTAACCTTAGCCTCAACCTTGTGTATTTCATCAATTGGTTAGAGTTAGTGCTGGCAATTCTTTCATCTGAAAACACCCACTTGAGTTGCCCGAGCTGTGAATGAAGAAAATATCGCACACAATGACAGCGTAGGATACGCAAGCAGCAGCGCTTGGCTGCTCGAACGATCGCCACGCAGGCTTTGCTCAGCGTGCTGTACTATAGCAAAGCTGGTTTTTTGTCCTTCATGCGGATTGTGAACTCAACAGTAGTGCTGAACAAGTGAGAATTCCTTGATGGGTCTGTCACGTCACGTGATCGGGCCTGGCTCTGTGGAGCGTTTTCAGCTCGTGAACGTTTGGAGTTGACTGTACTCCCAGGAAAGGGTAGTTCCGATTATAGCCGAGCGTTTGCGATACTTCTGATTTTATGAAAACGTTCCGAAACATATATTTCTAGTGTGGAAATGCTCAAGTAAGAGACATGCACGACCTCAGCCAAACACTTTACAATGTACCCTTCATCAGGTTATGTCGAAGTATGCCTGTGTCGGACACGGTGTTCCGACATTAGCTGGCAATCGGCAAGAATGCCTGCAAAAGTCCAACCTCGGTGCAGTGCGACAATTCATAAATCAAATCACCAACTGCATGACGTCATAATCACGTGACATACTTTGATTATTGGCCAAAATTGACCACGCGTCTCACCAGCGAATCATATGCATGCAGCACCGAATCACACAAGGCGTGTAAACTTTTTTCTCGCTATGGAGATTGGTGCAGATCAGATATTTTGTTCCAGGTACACACTGCACAAAGCCGGGGCAACAACTCCTCGTAAAGCCGGTAAGGTACTGGAGGACACATTTGTTGTTATATAGGGTATTGTTTCAGACTCTTAATACGAGCGAAAGAGAATCCAAAGTGTCTCGGTCGTAAGGACGTGGCCCAGACCGGGTCTGATTGCCTCGATCAGAAGCGATAAAAAACTTCCAGGAAGCCCCTTTGCCAATTTCAGGCAATCAGGGGCAATGAGTTGATCGCGATCAATTGATCGCTCCAACTCGATCAACCGCCTCAAACACCCCAATCAAACACAATCACACACAATCAGCCACGATCACTTGGGTTTGGGGATCTCAGCGACGCCCGCGAACAGGTTACAGCTGATCGTCATGCTCGTCAAGATTTCGAGCATGCATCTTTTAAAGTGTAATTTGCGAGATTACATGGAAACAATAAATTCGCTACGTCTTCGCTCTCGCCAGAATTGGGACGAAAGGTGAAGGAAATGCAGACTCGTTTGCGAGGCAGGCGCTATGAGTTTTCTAGGAATATCAGTACTGATCGGGCGGCGCGAGCAATGCAATCAGAAGCAACCCGATCAGATCCGCCCCGATCAGATCAGAGCCGATCAGAAGCGAACTGGGCCACATCCTAAATTTTCCGCACTGAGACTGTGGATCCCTCGATTCCTGTATCCAAGTAAACCGGGCCGTAACTGTATCTGGGATGAAGGGATTGTACACTCTGCTCCGACAGGAGGCGAGTTCTGTGAATGGGAAGTGTCGAGTCGACTAGTGAACATCGTACAAGCCCCCAGTGTAGATATGTATTCGAAAGGACATGAATCAGATCGGGCGTGATCGATCGCCTTCGACCATCGATCGGGTCAGATCGATTTGGGTGGGATTTTCCCAATCTGAGGCAATCTATCGATCGCGTCCCGTGCCGCGCAATCTGACCAAAGAATTTCTTGGAATTCTGTCAGAAACAACAAAGACGGCTCGAGGCTGGGGGTCCAAACAACGCTGACGAGGCCCACCGATTTTTTTGTATCGCGCAATTACAGCGTAGCCCTGTTTTGTCGCCTGATTGCCCCATACCTCCGTTCTGATGTGGCGATATCCAACGCTGATGCGAGCAGATGCGAAACTTTGGCGTCGCCAGGCGAAGCGATCTGAGGCAATTTAACGATTGCAATCGATACCAATCGATCGCGTCAGATCGAGGCAATCGATCGCAAACGATCCGATTCTCGATCGCAATAGAGAGATTGCCCTCGATTGCCTCAAAATGTTGCATGGGGCCTCTCGGAAATGTTGGATGCCTCAATCTGAGGCGATCAGACTCAGATCTACCTGATATGGACCACGTCCTAATTTCACAAAGCGCGCACCCTGGGACCACCCAGCGCTCGATCGCAGGCATGCCAGCGACCAATGAAAAACGATCTCACGCATGCGTGAAGTGAAATGGATGTGCAATGATTATGCAGTACACATGAGCCTCAAAGCAGCATTTTCTTCGCCGTCCATCTTTGCTCACTCGGGTTGTGGATAAACGAAGTTCCCGGGAAGTGTGGATCGGTCCTTCCGGTAGTGGAGCATATTTGCTCGCTTGTGGTGCCACGGCGGCAAGCTGTCACAGGCCATTCCAAGCCACACTCGTTCGGGGCTCGCACGCGCGATCTACGTTGCGCCCACTGATCAAATCTCCCGTGGGCTTGGCTTGGCCAACAATTGTTTGAGTGATCCTCCTAGGGTAATTGACTCTGGAAATTTTGAGATACAGCTTTCACGATTTCCCGCTTTCGCAAGAAGGAACGTGAGATCGCAGATGGATCCCGCACTGCTTCATAATGCACTATTTACCCAAGGCATGGCGCGGTGGTGTGGGTGGCAATGCCAGCAGCAGATCAAACACTGGCAGTCGGCAGCAGCAACAACTCACTTCCGTCATTTTCTTGTCTACAGCTTTTAAAATCTGTCTGGCTTTTAGACCACACCGAACTCGTCGCTGAGAGCGTCATTGCCGCGGAAAGACCACCACAAGCAAGCAGCAGCCACAGCGCTCCCCCTCTATGCCTTCTGATGAAAGAGGCACCACAACTTGCCGATAGTTTTTTCTATATGTGGTCGTCTTGCGGGATTCGTGAATCTCGGCCCCTGCTGTGTGGCAACTGAGGAGCAGAATGGCCAGTTGCCTCCGGGAGAGCATCTCTCAGGCTGCATCGTCGCCAGGCCGTATGACGACTCAGTTTGCCTGCCAGAATTATTCATTCTCGTGTGCCAATGTCATTGTAGAGCTGGTAGGACTACAATTAATCCGTTATTCTCGCGATATCTCGTGATCGTGAACGTCGTCCGACGAGTCGTCAAACCTAGGTTTAGCATAAACAATTTGGTCCTAAAGGTCCCTATCGTACTTCCAGGGTCATAATCCCCAAAATGGGCCATATTTTAGTAAAAACTTGTGAGCCGAACTTCGGCCTTCCGTCTTGGAGGGACTGCCGAAACTCCGTCTGAGTCAGTCATGTTCAGGCTGAGGCGACCTTCCATCTTGCCAAGAATGTCGAAAAAATGTCGAACGCCATTTTAGTAGGCGTAAGTTCGGAGGGAAGCCTTCCGGATCTGACTAATTCTGCTGAGTCTCTTTCTGTTCTCGCGACCCTGTGAAATGTTGGAAGCCGAAGCGCCTCGTTTTGTCTGACCTCACATTGCTTCCGTTACGTCCAGTGGGGTTATAAGGAGGCAGTAGCTTTTTGCAACCCTTGTTTGAGGACGGCGGCTTCACGGCGTCTTTTTAAACAATGGTGATCCCTTCACCACCATCGCCGTCATCACATCAGCATGTCCGATCCGATGATGCGCAACCGCCGCCAGCGCGGAATCCGGCGGCGGCGGCGCCGCGGCACGATTTGTCGCCGCTGCCGCCGCAGCAGCTGAGCCACGCGGCTGGCGCCGGCGCTGGCGCACGGTCGGCGCGCTTCTCTGTGGACCCCTCACTGGACGCTGCCGCCTCCTCCGCCGCCGCCTCTGCCGCCGCCGCCAGCTCAGGTTCGGCGGGCGCCGCGGCCGCAGCTCCCGCCGCCGGGCCAGCCGCAGCGAGCTTCTTGCGGAATCCCCAGATTCTCCCCTTCAAATCTCTCTTTGACTCTGCAGCACCACGCGGAGGCCCTGTTTTAACGGATCTGACTCTACCAGAGCAAACGGGATGGCTTTCCTCCTCCTCCTCAGGAGGCTCCTCCCTCTCCACCATTCACACTGTGATGGCTTCAGCAGCCTCTCTCCTTCCTTCCCCATTCATCCCTTCCCCAGTCCTTCCTTCCCCATTCGTCCCTTCCCCAGTCCTTCCTTCCCCTGTCAACCCTTCCCCTGTCAACCCTTCCCCTGTCAACCCTTCCCCTGTCATCCCTTTGCCAATCTTCCCTTCACCTGGGTCTCACCCTTTCCCTCTCCTCCATTCCCCTGGGTTTAGTATTCCGAGAGCTCAAAAACCAGGCCACGATCGCAGCCAGCCTCCTCCTCCTCCTCCCCGTCCTCCACCCTTTCCCACTCCCCCTCTCCCAACTGCTTTCCCTCTCCTTGACACACATCTGGCCGATACACCCGCCCCTGCCACGTCAGCAGCTGCCAGCTCCAGATGCTGGGCGGCAGAGACTGAGGCTGCTCCTGGCGGCGAGGCCTCGGCAGGTTCTGAATCCGGGCGGCATCGTTTGGAGACACTATCTTTGCTGCCGCCCAGACTTGCGCGTAGTACTATTGCCTCCTCTCGTGATAACGCTGCTGATGCTCCTGCACTTCCCCCCGCGTTAGAAGAAGACTCGTTACAGTCACAGACAGTATCAGCAGCAGTGCGAGAATCATACTCGGTAAGGAGTGATGCAATACCCAGAAACGCTCCGTCTCCTCGCCTGCTGAATCTGTTTGGACCCCAGTCAGACAAAGAATGTAAAACCCAAAGGGAAGATGGAATAAGGGGGGGTGAAGGAAGGACAAAGGCAGGGAATGAGGAAGGTGAGGGGAGGATAGTAAAGGAAGGAGAAGGAGAGGGGAGGGGAAGGGGGGGAGAAGGGAGGATAAAGGAGAGCGAAGGGAGGAGAAGCGAGGGGGAAGGGAGGACAAGAGAGGGGGAAGGGAGGAAAAGGTTTAGGGGTAGTGGTGTTTGTATAGACGATGGAGAGAGGCCGGACGGGACAGCTTGGACGGGTGCAGAGAGGAGGGATGGCGTGGACAAAAGAGTGGCCGTGAAGGGGAGTATGGGGATGGACGAAGGTATGGGAACAGGCATAGATACAGGCACGGGGACAGAGTTGGGGAGAGGCTTGGGGACAGGTACGGGGACAGGTTTGGGTACAGGTATGGGAAGAGACATCATAGGGATGGGCAGCCGAGATTTTACGATGGCAGAGGCTGACAGTACGGCAGCGGCAGAGGCTGCTGTGGTGGGTACTGGCTTGGGGACTCGCATTGGTACAGGCTTGTACACATGCATGGGGGGCAGAGACGCCGCAATGACAGAGACTGACAGACAGGCAGCAGCAGAGGCTGCTGCTGCCGCTGATGCTGCTGGATTGTCTTACCTGCAGGAGCGACATCATCTGTTGCTGCTGCAGCAAATGAGGCTCCAACAGCAGCAGCAAGAGCAGCAACAGGCATTGCTGCAGCAGGCTCATTTGCAAACCCAGCAGCAGCAGCAGCAGCAGCAGCAGCAGCAGCAGCAGCAGCAGCAAGTACAGCAGCAGAGTCAGTGGTTTGCTCTTCTGCAGCAGCAACAAGCCTTTCTGCAGCGATCTCAGGAGCATGCTGAGCAGCAGCAGCAGCAGCAGCAGGGGGAGGAGGAGCAACAGCAGGCCCAGCAGCAGGGTCTGCAGCAGGAGAGGTGGCATGAGATGCAGCAGCAACAGCAGCAAGCCTCGCTGCAGCGATCTCAGCAGCAAGCTGAGCAGGAGAAGCAGCAGCAGCAGCAGCAGCAGGTGCAGCAGCAGCAGCAGCAGCAGCAGCAGCAGCAGCAGCAGCAGCAGCAGCAGCAGCAGCAGCAGCAGCAGCAGCAGCAGCAGCAGCAGCAGCAGCAGCAGACACGGCATGAGATGCAGCAGCAGCACCAAGCTTTGTTGCAGCGAGCCTTGCAGCATGCGGAGAAGGAGCAGAGTCAAAGGCTGGAGATTCAGCAACAACAGCAGCTGCAGCAGCTGCTGCTTCTGCAGCAGGGTTTGGAGCAGCGAGCAAGGCAGAGGCAGGAGGAGCAAGAAGCAGAACAGCAGCAAGAACAGCGACTGGCGCAGCAGCAAGCACAACATCATGCATCACAATCACACTCACAGCAAAATCTGCAGCAACTGCTGCTTCTACAGCAGGGTTTGGAGCAGCGAGCACAGCAGAGGCAGGGGGATCAAGGAGCAGAACAGCAACAGGCACTACAACAGGCGCACCAACATGCATCACAGTCACACGCGCAGCAACAGCTGCAGCAGATGCTGCTTTTGCGGCAGCTGGAGAAGCAGGCAAGGCAGAGACAGGAGGAGAAAGAAGCAGAACAGCATTCGCATGAGCAGTCACTGCAACAAGCACAGCAACAGCGGGCACAACCACGGGCGAAATTCCTGGATGTTGAAACTTCAAGAGTGCAATTTCCAGTACAATCAGCTGAGCTGAATCAGGTTCACTCTTCTGAGAAGCATCAGATTCAATCGGTGGAGCAGCGTCAGCAGACACAGGCCCTTCTGAGTGAGAGAGCACAGGCCCTCCTGTCCTCCTGGCTGGGAGTTGCAAGTGTGTCTCCCTCTGCTGCTGTTGCTGCCGCCGCTGCTGTTACTGCTGCCACTGCTGCCACTGCTGCCACTGCTGCTGCTGCTGCTTCTGATGCTACTGCGGTAGCAGCAGGTGATACAAGCCCAGGACTTGCAACAAGGGCAAACTGCTGCTGCTGCTGCTGCTGCTGCAGGTTCTATAGCTGGTGGTGGTGATGGTAGTGGTGGTGGTGGGGACGTTTCAGTTTCATCTGGTGTTGGTTTCAACGCCCCGCCACGTGCCGCCGCCCAGCCTCCAGCTCAGCTTCCCTCGGACCGGCTCCCTGGCATGCCGGGGCAAAGGCCGGGCGGGTATTCGTGTCCTATCTGCGGCAACGTTTTCCCCACGTCGCAAGCACTTGGTGGGCACATGACATGCCACGTGGCGCGACGTAAGAGGACGTCCCGAAAGGGGGAGGAAGCACCAGCAGCGGATAAAACAGGACCAGCAGGAGGGAGAGGAGGAGTGAGAGGAGCAGGTAGAGGAGGGGAGGGAGGGGGAGGGGGAGGAGGAGGAGGAGGAGGAGGAGTTGGAGATGGGTCATCAAAAAGAGCAATAGGGAGTGCTGGTGGTAGTGCCAGTGCAAGTCCTTTCAAGTACCGCCCAACTCCCCCCTCACGACCACCATCCAAGCGCAAGGCGAGCAACATGCAACTCCCTTCTACTTCTGGTGCCAGCAGTGGCAGTGCTGCTGCTGGTGCTGCTGCTGCTGCTAGTGCTGGTGCTGCTGCTGCTGCTAGTGCTGGTGCTGCTGCTGCTGCTAGTGCTGGTGCTGCTGCTAGCTCTGCTGGTGCTACTGCTGCTGCTAGTGCTGGTGGGAGCGCCGCTGCTAGTGCTGGTATCAGTGGTGGTGTTAGTGCTGGCGCAAGTGCTGGTGCAAGTGCTGCTACTACTCTTGGCGCTCCTGCTTCTGGCAGTGCTGCAGCGCCTCATTGGGGTACAGCTCGTTTGAGCAAAGGATCGCTGCGTGGAGTTTCCGCTGCTTCTCCCTTTTCGTCTGCTACTGCTGCTGCTCCTGCTGCTCCCGACCCTGCTGCTTCTGCTCTTCCTGCTGCTGCTGCTGCTTCTCCGTTTGCTGCTGCTGCTGCCACTGCTGCTGCCCCTCCTGCTTCTCTTCTATCGATTCCGCAGCTTCTGGAAGCAGAGAGAATTGCAGGCTTGGGACGCAACCCAAGCCTGGGCCCGAACCTGCTCCACAACCCAAGCCTTAGCCTCGGTCAGAACCTCGGCCAAGGCCCGAGCCTCATAGATGGGCAGCCGAGCCTCCTGCAGTACCTTGGGCCAATGCCTCGTCGAGACGCCCTTCCTTCATTAAAACCACCTTCATTAGAGTCACCTTCGTTAAGAGTACCTGTACCTTCGTTCACACCTCCTTCATTGGTGCCTTCTTCATTAATATCCCCTTCATTAGCACCACCTTCAAGAGCTATTGTGAGCACGGAAATGGCAATTCCCCCTGCTACATTTCTGGCTACTGCTCTTCATACTGCCGCTATGGGAATTCCTCTACATCTGAGAACGGCCTACACTGAAAGGACTTCCGATGAGGAAGCTAATAAGGTGTACGCTGGTAGGGCTTCTATCGAGGAGGCTACTAGAGCGTACACTGGTGTACCTACAGGCAGAGGGAGGGGGGAAGAGTCTGCAAGAGGAATTGAAAGAGGGAGGGGGGTTGAGAGAGGGAATGGGAGTGGGAGCGAGAGAGGGGGCGATAGCGGCGGCAGGAGAGCAGCGATGGGAACAGAAGTGGCTCCTGCAATGCTCACTGTGGGTTCTCGGGCTCAAATCAGTTATACTGATGCGCCCTTGCAGACTGGCGTGAGCCAGTCTGAGGGTGAGAATTTGGAGGGATTGGAGTTGACTCTACTCGTGAGACCCACGTCGCAGACCTCTGTGAATGTCAACTCTGCGAATGGCAACGCTGCAAATGGCAACCCTGCAGATATCAACTATGCTAGTGGCAAGGTGCAAGAGGAAAGAGGGTTGGATTCGCTAGACAAGGAGCAGCGGCGGCAAAACTCGTAGTACTTCGCTGCCCCATAGAGGCGTTCTGCAATGTTGTTTTTATATTCAGCCCAAGTGATTATACTAATTAAAAAGGCAGTTGGTGGTGAAAGATGTTGGCCAATCAAAATTCAGGTGCCAGTCGAGGGTCTGCTTTGTCTTGACGTTCCGAGCTGTTGGAAAAAAGTAACCTAACGCTTCTTGTTTGTCGTAACATCAGATTGTAAACGAGTCGAACCACAGCGCAGCAACGGCGAGTCAACCGAGGAGGTTGACAGAAAAGTAACAGCCGGAGGTTACGCGAAGGTCAAAGGTCAGCGACCTCTGATTCGACAAATACAGCGCGACAGCAAGGACAAACAACTGACTCGATATTGAGCAGTTGCCCGAGTCGTCACTGTATCAAACCGCAACAGCAACAGTAAAACGGTTATTGCATCCTTTCATATTCCTTGTAATCTTATAAAAAGCTTGTATTACCTTCTGTAATCAATCTATCTTGCCCTCACATACTAGCGCAAGGTGGTTCAAACCTTGTTATTAAAACGCTTCTGCAATTACAACACTTCTATCAAGAGTCTTAGCCTTGAAAGATCCTAAGGGCTTTTCTCAGCCCAACATGGTATGAGAGCAGACAAGGCAAAACTCCACTTCGTTTAAACTCCTACAACATCAGAAGACATGGATACACAGAAGGAGAGAAGCTCCTCTAACGGCTCTCCCGCCACTACTCCTACTCCACCTCTAGCCTCTGGCCTACGGACAGAGGGAGGCATGGCAACAAGGCCAGTTGCTGGGTCTACGGAAACTCCTGCGAACCAAGCAACAGGCTTCGACCCAAGTATGATGGAGAAGTTCTTCTCCTTCGTGTCCTTCTACGAACAGCACCAGCAAGCAACACCTGCACAATCAAACAACAGCGACAACAACAACGGAGTCACACCAATGAGTCTCGACGGCTCATCCTATGCGCGCGGAAACCAGCAGCAGCCTACCTTTGCTCCATACGAGCCTCAACGAGGCTCCATCAGCTTCATGCCGCATCAGCCTCCTTCACCTGGACAAGAGAAGACACTGGACGCGCTTCAGGTTCAATCACAGTTCGCACATGTACTGAAGGTGCAGACATCTACGCCTTTCGACGGAAAGGATTTCTATAGGTGCAAATCCTCGGATTCTTCGACGGTTCCCTGCCATACCCACACACAGAACACAATACGACAAGCAACAGTATACATATCAGTCACTGATGGCGTACACAATCCTGCTACGAAACATAACGCCAAACGACCAGCAGAACATTCGGTCTTATCGGAGATACGGCAACTCCGCCGAGCTCACGTACAACCACCTGAAGAACCCATATTAAGCAACAGACAGCGTCAATCAGAGTCGTCTCATGGCACAGCTGAGAACAGTGGAAATGAAACCCGACGAAATGGGGATGGCGTATGTTAGCCGATGTCGCGGATTGCGCGACAGACTCCTTCGATGCGGAGGATCAATATCCGAAGAAACCTTCATTATAGTCGTCATCACTGGCCTCGGCCCTCATTGGCGTTCCACTCAAGCCATTCTTCGAGCTCACGGGAAGATCTCCGAAGCGGCACTCTGCGCCGAAATTCACGCTGAACAGCAAGACATAGACCTGCACGAAGAACGCCACAAGAAAAGAGCATCAGCACCCGAATTCGCGTTCCACACTCAACGACGCTACAACAACAACAACAACCGGCAGAATAAGCATCAACCACAACGATACGTACCACCGTTCTGTCACCTCTGCAAAACGTCAGGACACCCTCGCACCCACTGCCCAAATCAACAGCAGTCAATGCCGCCGCAACGTCAGCTTCGGCCTTCGAGCAGTCAAGTAGCTTCTACGCAGGCGCATCCTACCAATCAAGTGCAATCCTCAACGACACCGACAACTCAATCTGCAAAAGGCACAAGAAATGTCGTGAGTTGCATGGCAAGGTTAACAGACTCCTGCATCACCGAGTCGCCGCCGCACTACTCACCAGAAGAACTACTCGACAAAGCACTCCTCGCCGCGAGTCACTGGAGCCGAACCCGACGTACGCAGCCATCGCCCAGAGCGAGCCGTCCGGGAAAGACACCTGGTTCTTGGACAGCTGCTGCGGACAGCACATGTGCTCCTCGGGTCGCTTCGTTCAATGAGAGCATCAACTTCAGCGCGAAGTCGTCATCACCGTCGCCAACAACCAGAACCTGCGCACACGACGACAAGGCATAGTTCAACTTCAGTCAAGAGAAACCAATGTCATACTGCAAATGTCAAAGGTCTTAATCGCGGAGGGACTCGGCTACAACTTACTCAGCGTCAGTCAATTGATGGCGAAGGGAATTCATCTCGAAACAGAAATCACCACGCAAGAGTTCAAGCTGTACCACGGAAAGGGCAACCTCTACATCGGCAAGGCGGTCTTGAAGAACAACGTCTTCGTTCTTGATTTCGTTCCAGACCAAGGCACCGCCGACAGCGACGCCATCGTCAACTTCACTTCTTGGACACACCCGCCAGATCTCGACCCCGACTTCAGTCCTGGAGGCTTCTGGTATTCGCATACTATATCTGAAGCAGAACGAACAAGAGCGTTAGCAACGATTCAACAACCGGCAGCAGCAGAAACAACACTGACAGCAGCAGAGACAACTTCGGCAGCAGCAGTAACACCATCGGCAGTAGCAGAAACAACACCGACAGCAGCAGAGACAACTTCGGCAGCAGCAGTAACACCATCGGCAGTAGCAGAGACAACATCGGCAGCAGCAGAGACAACACAGGCACCAATCGCTGGTCCTTCAACAGCACCGCCGGTTTTTATTCCAACTCCGACCTGTACAGGCGCTCACCCAGACATCGCGCTAGCGAAGACATCTGACATGCAAGGATGGGACACCTGAGCAACGCAACGTTAAACAACACGATAAGAGCTGGAGTACTTGACAAGGACTCACTACTTCTACACGACGGCACAGAACTTCAACGAGTCTGCGGAACGTGTTTTACCTGCCCTGAAGCCGACTTACCGCATCAGCCGTTCGTCTCTCACCACAACCCGAGCGCTCCAGCATACGCACCACTGGAATAGGTGTACAGCGACATCCTGTACAACCGCGAACCCGGACAAGGAGCGTATAACTACGTCATCACGTTCATCGACGCCGCCACACGATACGTCTGGCACTTCAACCTCCCGAGCCGGGACATGGCCTTTGAAGCCTTCGTCGCCTGGCTTCCAGTAGCAGAACGGGAATCAGGAGTGAAGCTAAAAAGCTTCCAGTCAGACGGGGGAGGAGAATATCAGTCACAGCGATTCAAGCAGTACCTGGCAGAACGAGGCA